TTGTGCTCGCTGAAAGCCACTCCTCGGGTTACCAAGCAATTGGAGCGATGTTTCAAGTGCATGGGATTCGGTCACCAGGCGAGGAACTGCAATGGCCCTGACAGATCTGATCTGTGCAGGAAATGCGGAGAGAAAGGCCATATTGCAAGAGGCTGCACGAAGCATCCGAGGTGTATGCTCTGCAAAAAAGAGGACGGTAACGATCATACGACGGGAGGCTTCAAATGCCTAGCATACAAAAAGGCGATGGCAGGCCAACAGTAATGGAGGTAACCCAAATAAATCTCAATCATTGCGACATTGCTCAGCAACTGTTGTGGCAGTCGACAACAGAAACAAAGTGCGACGTTGCAATCATTGCGGAACCGTATCGAGTCCCTCCCGATAACGGTAACTGGGTTGCGGATAGAGCTGGGATGGCAGCTATACAAGTTATGGGCAGATACCCCATTCAAGAAGTGGTTGCGAGCTCATACGAAGGCTTCGTCATCGCCAAAATCAACGGAATCTTCATGTGTAGTTGTTACGCACCCCCCAGATGGACGATGGAGAAGTTCCACGAGATGCTTGATGGACTTACTGAAGAGCTGGTCGGACGACGACCGGTAGTCATCGGAGGAGACTTCAATGCTTGGGCAGTGGAGTGGGGAAGCAGGTGTTCCAATGCAAGAGGGCACAGTTTGTTGGAAGCTCTGGCAAAACTGGAAGTTATGCTGGCCAATAAAGGCACCAGCAGCACTTTTCGCAGAGATGGCCGAGAATCCATTATCGACGTTACTTTCTGCAGTCCGTCGCTGATGGCTGGTCGGACGACGACCGGTAGTCATCGGAGGAGACTTCAATGCTTGGGCAGTGGAGTGGGGAAGCAGGTGTTCCAATGCAAGAGGGCACAGTTTGTTGGAAGCTCTGGCAAAACTGGAAGATATGCTGGCCAATAAAGGCACCAGCAGCACTTTTCGCAGAGATGGCCGAGAATCCATTATCGACGTTACTTTCTGCAGTCCGTCGCTGATGGCAAACATGGATTGGAGAGTGTGCGAAGGATATACCCATAGCGACCATCAGGCGATACGATATGGCATCGGTCAACGGAATACTGTGGCAGTACGGAGGACGAGAACTTGTGACCGAAAGTGGAAGACGAAAGCTTTCGACAAGGATTTGTTCATTGAGGCACTTCGTGTGGACGGGAGTCCCGTAGATCTAAATGCGGACGAGCTGACAGAAACGTTAGTGAGAGCATGTGACACGACCATGCCGAGGAAACTGGAGCCAAATAACAGACGGCGTCCAGTCTACTGGTGGAACGAGGCACTTAGTACTCTCCGCGCTAGTTGTCTCAGAGCCAGAAGACGTGTTCAGAGAGCAAGAACGGAAGCAGACAGAGAGGAACGAAGAGAAGTGTTTCGAGCGGCCAGGGCCGCTTTTAAACGAGTGATTAAGCAGAGCAAGTCGAACTGTTTTAAGGAGCTGTGTCGAGACGCTGATGCCAACCCCTGGGGCGACGCATACCGAGTCGTGATGGCGAAGATCAGAGGTCCAACGATGCCCGCTGAAATGTGCCCAGTGAAGCTGAAAGTCATCGTGGAAGGACTTTTCCCGAAGCACGACCCAACAACCTGGCCACCTACACCGTACGGAGAAGGAGAGGGAGATAACGTCGAAATCACCAACGAGGAGCTCGTAGTAGTGGCGAAAGGATTGAAGGTGAAGAAAGCTCCCGGTCCGGATGGAATCCCCAACGTAGCGTTGAAAGCGGCAATCCAGTCATACCCGGACATGTTCAGGTTGGTGCTGCAGAAATGCCTGAACGAGGGTCACTTCCCTGACAGGTGGAAGATACAGAAGCTAGTGTTGCTGCCGAAACCAGGAAAACCGCCGGGGGATCCAGCATCATACAGGCCTATATGCCTGCTGGATACACTCGGAAAACTCTTGGAGAGAATCATCCTAAACAGGCTGACGAAATACACGGAGAGTGAGCACGGATTGTCGGAGAGGCAGTTCGGATTCCGGAAAGGGAGATCGACGGTGGATGCAATTCGGACAGTGGTTGAGAGAGCTGAAAAGGCGTCCAAACAGAAGCGGAGAGGAGATCGATATTGCGCCGTGATAACGATCGACGTCAAGAATGCGTTCAACAGCGCCAGCTGGGAGGCCATCACCGAAGCACTGTATAGAATGAGGGTCCCTGACTACCTGTGCAGGATCCTGAGGAGTTATTTCCAGAACCGGGTTCTGGTCTACGAGACAGACATGGGACAGAGATCGATTAGGATCACAGCGGGAGTTCCACAAGGCTCCATCCTTGGTCCAACGCTCTGGAACGGGATGTACAACGGCGTGCTAACGCTGAAACTGCCAAAGGAGTTGAGATCGTTGGCTTTGCGGACGACGTCGTCTTGACGGTAACAGGCGAGACGCTGGAAGAGGTGGAAGTGTTGTCAACCGAGGCAATCGACATGATTGGTAACTGGATGAAAGGAGCGAAGCTGCAAATAGCCCACCACAAAACGGAAGTGTTATTGGTCAGTAACTGTAAAGCGGTACAGCGGGCAGAAATCACCGTCGGGGAGCACACCATTGCCTCGAAGCGTGTGTTAAAATACCTGGGAGTGATGATCGATGACCGGCTAAACTTCAACAGCCACGTCGAATATGCCTGTGAGAAGGCTTCGAAGGCCATCAACGCGATAGCTAGAATCATGCCGAACAACGCTGGTCCCAGCAGTAGCAAGAGGCGTCTTCTGGCCAGCGTGTCATCATCGATACTGAGATATGGAGGCCCAGCCTGGGTTCCAGCGCTGGAAACGAAGCAGAACCAAAAGAAACTGAGCAGTACGTTCCGGCTCATGGCCATGCGAGTCGTGAGTGCGTACAGAACCATCTCGTCGGAAGCAGTATGCGTTATCGCCGGTATGATCCCTATCGGCATCACCCTGGCGGAGGACAGCGAGTGCTACAGGCAGAGAGAAGCCGGAAGAGTACGGAAAGTTGTGAGAGTGGAGTCATTGGCTAAGTGGCAACAGGAGTGGAACACGACGGAGAACGGTAGATGGACACATAGACTAATACCGATTCTTTCGACCTGGGTGAACAGAAAACACGGAGAAGTCAATTTCTACCTAACGCAGTTCCTGTCTGGCCACGGCTGCTTCAGGAAATACCTGCATCGGTTCGGACACGCAGCGTCACCTCTCTGTCCGGAGTGTGGCAACGTCAATGAAACGCCGGAGCATGTGGTCTTTGACTGTCCAAGGTTCGAGGCAGTGCGAACGGAGATGCCCGTCCTTAACGTGGAGAATGTCGTCGATGAAATGTTTCGAGAGGAGGACTCTTGGAATGCCGTCAGCAGGGCAGTCACGCAGATTATGTCAGAGCTGCAGCGTAAATGGAGAGAAGAGCAGCGATCTAGCAACGCCAGCTAGCGCTGAGAGTACGACAAGTGCATGAGCACAGCCACCCCCCGAAGTAGTCGCTTCACAGTGGTCCCGGGGGGATCCAGGCAGAGGAGAGAGTAAGGAATGGGTTTTAGTGGAGCTGCACTAGGCAACTAGTGGATACCACACCGTGCCACCTTCACTACAGGCCAGGCTTCTTGAAGCTTTCCTAAACCTTACTATAAAAAAAAAAAAAAAAACAGACAGACAGACAGACAGGCAGACAGACAGACAGACAGACAGACAGACAGACAGACAGACAGACAGACAGACAGACAGACAGACAGACAGACAGACAGACAGACAGACAGACAGACAGACAGACAGACAGACAGACAGACAGACAGACTAGACTAGAACTAGAAACTAGAAATTTAATTTTTAAGATAATTTCATCGCAAATAGTGCTATCTAACATGAAGCTTTAGTGTGATAATTTATTAGCAAGAAAGAACGATCTGAAGAGGGTAGGTAGATAGTTCAGCTAGAGTGCAGCAGTATGAAAATTGAATGGAAGTTGAAAATGAGCGATGGGCGATGAGCGATGCGACAGTACTAGTCAAACGCACACTTCTTTACCTAACTCACACATGAATAGGTCAGGAGATTTAAAGTATTTCTCGATTCTAAGAAATACTTCAAATCTTCTCATCCTTTAATGTATAAGCTAGGTAAAGAAGTATGCGTTCGACTAGCTAATAAATTATCACACTAATGTCAAGTGGAAACTACCGATTTTAAATTGGCACACTACTTGACTAGCCTATTGGTCCCAAGCAAATTGATTAACGTATCCCATTCTAGTCAAAATTCTAGTACTACACAATGTTTGTTTTGATTCGCTATGAAAGTTTGACAGATAAAATGAGAGGTTCGTAGATTTTCCTATGTTTCGAGGGGTGCATCGATTAGCTTGGGACCGAAGAGAGTACCAGAGCTGAGCCAAAAAGTTTAGCACGTTTCTTCGGGACCTACTAGTCTTAGAGTTACCTCTATTCTAATGTCGCGGATACACTTGTATGACCAACTACGAGCATGAGCATTATTCGTATTATAAATTATGAGCACATCTATGGTCACACTTGTATAGTTGTTGTATTGTTTTTGTATAGTGCTCATAATTAATATACAAACAATGCTCATGTTCATAGTTTGTCATACAAGTGTATCCGCGGCATAAAGCTTCATGTTAGATAGCATTTCCAATCAACTATGAATATTTTTCTGTTTATTCCTCGATGGATGGATTTTGGCATTGTATCCTAAATAAAAATGTATGTCCTTGCGTGTATCTGGCCCGAAAAAAGTACTGTCAGAATTATCTTCAGAAAGAAAATCGGCCATTTTCTTCAAACTAAAATGAAACACACCTGTTTCGTAAGTTTTCCAGCATATATTTCACCAATAGCCTTTCGTTGCATTTTGATTCGCTTGAATTTTGCTAAAATTGTCCTAGGAACTACATAACACAATTGACTTTAGACGGAGGAAAATGAGTTCGAGTATTTACAACAGGTAATTGACGCTAAACATTTAACACAAACTAACACGTGCGCGAGTTCAATACGATGGCGGCCGTTTTCCGAACACTTGCATCTGATAGCTGGACGGTGAACTGACCGAATCACCGTGGTAGGTCACGAGATCGTACGGTTGGTCGTGCATTTTCACGCGGCTGTGGGACGTGGATGAAGCGGCCGTGACCAAATTAGCTGCGGCTGGTTGATGATGTTGGTACCCGAAGTGACTGAATGGTTGCGGGATGAAGGGAGCCGGAAGGAATACATTATTTCCGAAGTAGGTCGTGTACGGAAGCTGACTGTAGGCATTACTGGGGAACGGGTTCCACACGGGTCGACGGTACTGTTGTTGTTGTTGTTGTTGTTGTTGCGCTTGTTGGTTGACGAAATTCGATGCCGTTTGAATGGAACTATCATCAATTTGCGTTGAGTTGTCGTCTCGACTTTCGGCGTCGTTGTTGGCCAGTTCGTTGACGGCTGTTGGATCAACAGTCGTTTGTTCTTGTTCGCTTCCGGGATCTTCAGTTGGAGGAGAACTCGTGGTTGGGGGTTCAGTTGTAGGTTCCTCGGATGAGGCCGGAGCTTCCGTAGTTGTAGTAGTGGCCTCTGTTACTGTTGCTTCTGTGGGTGCTTCCGATGAAGTAGACTCCAGTAGGCCGATCCTAGCCGGTCCAGAAGTAGCCATGGTTTCTACTTGGACTAGCCGCTCAGGAAGACTAGGTATTTCAAACTGTCCACTAAACGACTTGGGAGTAGTTGCGGGTTTTTTGGATCCACTTCCTCCGGAAAACTGTGCAGATGAGGCCATCAGTAGGTGCTTCAATGGATTAACAGCGGTATCTTGCTTCTCGTGAGATTTTCCAGGATTACTGAACTGGAAAAATTGCGCAAAATGGTTCACTAGATATTGGATAGTCCTTTTTGCACGGACCGCTTCTCGTCCGTCTTTTGCAGTTTGGGATGAAGCTATGGTTACTTCCACTAGCAAGATTGTCACACACCAGATCACTGCACCGATCTTCATTTTCATACTCTTCCAAAGGATCGTTTACATACAAGAACAAAATCGACAAAAAACCGTTGCTCAAGAACCACACCGGACACGCCTGGCTCGGATCACGTTCAAAACTGAACTGATTAAACAAGTTCAGGTGACCATTGCTTATTAGAATAGAGTGAACGTGCAGTGTATCATTTTTTCGTCTACTGTCGTTACACTGCGTTGATTTTTTACCTACGGTTTTTATTTCATTTTGTATCCAGCCCGGTTTTTCTCAGCTCTTTCGTTTTTTTTCTTTTACTTTTTTTCTGTATGCTAGCCTAAGAGCGGCAAACTTTAATACATCATTAACCGAGTCAGTAAAGTGTGCACCACGCGTCAACCTGTGGGCTTACGGGTGAGTGGCCGAGGTAAGTCACAGACTGATTGCAGACAGATGATTCTTCGTTTATATATTTATATTACGTCCAACTTGTTAGTTGGTTTAATTTAAAAGATTGTGCTGTTCATTTACAACCATTTACAAGATTAGGTAAATTTTGAGTATCACCATTGCAGCATATGTCAATATTCGTATTATTAGCTTTAATTCTACATGCTGCCATTTTTAAAACAATCTTTTTTTATAACTCACTTAGACTTTTTAGGTTTTGTACACGCAAACCAAAAATTTATTACAATGAATGTTAGTTCCATTTCCTATCATCCTCTGTTTATGAACATCGCAGCGAATGTTAGGAGTTAACCTTGCAGAAAATGTTTAAAATCTGGCAGTTTTTGAATAAATCCTAAAATTAAGATTTAAGTTTTTAAATAAGAAAATTAGTTCCTTTATCATTCATAATTAGGTTCCAGACATAAGCGGCGCCGGCGGTGTAGTGGTAAGCATGATTACCTCTCACCCCAGCAGGCCTGGGTTCAATCCCAGTCGGCGCCGCCGGGATGTTCTGAGGGAAGTAAAGCCGTTGGTCCCCGGTTCATGAGTTGATGGGTCGACAGGTAGGGTCCAGGTGTGGTAGCTGCCTCCCTGGCGTCGGTAGCATGTGTTAACGATCTCTACACTGCCGTTTTGATGGGAAAATGCGAAACTGAAAACAGTCTTTTGTAAAGGACAAATGGTATACCTTACATGTCCATGACGACTTCCCTATCAGTGGGTCGAATCCGATGGGAATGGGGTAACGTCTTCAGTATGGCCAATCTTCATCACTAGACTGGCCAGAGCACGCAGAGTGGATTAAGCACCTGGACCTGGAGTATTGGTGTGGTTACACCGGTGGCATGTAGATTTGCATGATATGGTGATTTCCAGCGGCTTGAATTTCGCAGCGACACCCTGGTCGGTCAACATAGAGGTGTAGGGCTAAGCCTGAAGGGCCACCAGAGATGCCAGATTTTTTTTTCAGAAGTCTGCGAAAAATGTCTGTGAATTTCAGAAATGTCTGTAATTGGGCTGCATAAAATTAGCAGAAGTTTTGCGTGCAACGGGGGCCCCAGGAGGAGGTACATGAAATAGAAGCAACATTTTAAATGTCAGTAAAAGTCATGTTCGAGCAAAAAAGACCTGCTTTTAACGAATTGAACCTAATTGGAGACGCCGTATACATTAAAAGCAATTATTAAAAAAGATAAATTGCGATTACACGACAAATGAGGTCGACTCCAAGTTGAGATTACCGTATGCGCGATAATGTTTGCACCATCGTACAAATAAGGTTCCCGTTTCACCTATGCATACAATGCCTTGGTTTTCTTTGCATGCATGTAACCTATAGTTCATTGACTTCTCGACGCTACATCTTACTTATTCGCGTTGACGGCACCGTCGAAAAATTTTCTCTTCCAGCAAATATAGACAGTTTCTTATGAGAATTTTCGGTGGAGTGAATGGATAGTACAAAGTTCGCCATGTTTCACGCACAGTCTGACGTTTGCTTATGGATTTTCTCATAAGAGTAAAGAGCTACAGAGTCGCCGTCAACGCCAATACAACCTAGCTAGGGCAGCCATGTAAAATCGGTTTGTTTATTATTTTCAACCACGAAATCAGCTGTCAAAGTGTTCGACTTGACAGCGGTTTGTTTTTTTTATTTTCAACCAGTAAAATGCATGTATTAGTGAAACTTCTCACTAATACTAACGGTGGAAGAGAACTCTATACCGTAGTAGGCTGTGTATAAAAGAAAATGATTTACTTAGCTTGACAGTTGCACCAACCGGTGAACACTCGTGTTTATTTCAGTTACCGTGAGGACGTAATTTGTGATGAGCCCCGGTCCCTTTCAAATTGTATCATTATTTATGTACGTTTCATATATTTGAAATGACGTTTCACATTAATCTAGTGATGGCCGATTTTCATTCGAATTATCGATTAATCGATTAACGAACCGAGAAGTAAATTATTTGTAATCGGTTATATCATGCCGATATAAGCATTAACTTCTCCAGAGGATCATCACCGATCGTTTCAAACATGTGCTACACTCTCATTGATGGAAATATAGCAGCACAGCGAACAAAAAAAATCGATTAGTTGTTAATCGAGTAATTAAAAAATGGGACACCTCTGATTTTGGTGTGTTTGTTTTGATAAAAATGAGCGCAAAATTTCATCTCTGTCGAGGGGGCAGCAAAACCACAAAATTACCTTGAATACGGGGGGTATTCATTGGATGAAAGGGACCGTGAAAGAGGTCACTAAAATAGAAAGTTTTTCTTCCGACAGTTTCATCTTAGTATTCATCTTTGGTTGCACCATGACTAAGTGGCAGCTTATTCGTGATTTGTCCGCAAAAAGACATTTCAATCGCTGTGGGAGTGTCCCGGTGGACCATCAAAAGGGTTTTAGACCGAGAAAAGAAAGGCCAACTATCCGCGAAGGTGGCCACAGGTCGTCCGAGGTCAGCTCGGGTTCCGAGGGTTATCGCTGCTATCAAAAGGAAGATTCGGGTGAATCCAGTGCGTTCAATAAGGAAAATGGCAAAGGAACACGGGATCAGTGACTTTACGGCACGGAAGATCGTAAAGAAAGATTACGGGGCGAAGTCGAGGGCACGGAAAAAAAACTCACCTGATTACCAACCGCATCCGGGAGCTACGAGTCGAACGGTGCAAGAAAATCTTGAACTTCCTTAAGCGAAAAAATCCGGTAATCCTGTTCACCGACGAGAGCATGTTTGCCGTCGATCCCGTATCAAATTCCAGAACCGACCGGTATATTAGTTTTCTTCCGGTGGCCGACGAGCACAAGAACGTGTATCTGACCAAGCATCCTACTAGCGTTATGGTGTTTGGATTGCTGGCTTCCGATGGCAAAAAAAATGGACCCGGTGTTCATTCCAGAAGGCGACAAGGTCAACACGGAGGTCTAAATCGGGATTTTAAGTAAGTCTGTTCTTCCGTGGATCAAAGACCAGCACGGACCCGGGCCAAATGTTGTATTTCAACAAGATGGGGCTCCGTACCACACCTCGAACCGCACTGAGAAGTGGTTGCAGGAACATCTTCCGTTCTGGGCGAACGATATGTGGCCGCAATCTAGCCCCGATCTTAATCCGCTGGATTACTCAATATGGCGCGTCATGAAGGCCAAGGCCTGTTCTAAATGCCACCCGAGTACAGCAAGCCTCAGACAAACATTGACCCGTACCTAGAGAGAAATGGATCCAGACTACATTATTAGAACCTACCGTGCATTCCGGAAGCGTGTGGAGGCCATAATTGCAGCAAGTGGAAACTCGATCGATGATTAACTTAGTTTAAGACTCTGAGAAACATCCCCTCCTTTAAATAAATAAAAAAAAACTCGAAAACGATTTTTTTTTTAAATTTTGACATTGCTCAATGGTGCAAACATTATCACGCATACAGTAGTTCACTCATATTCAGTGTTGGAAAATATCAAAAAATCAAATCTCACCAAGCAATGCATTTAGAGTGGATTTAGAGTAAGGACGTCTTGAGCAAAGTTGATGAGTATGACATGCTTCATATTTTGAAGGCATGGGTTTTGTGATTAATCCCCCTAAAAGTAAAATGAAAAATTTATTTTTTTCACAATGTCGTTATAAATGGTTGACGTCTTCAGCAAAGTTGTAGCAAAAATGATTACAAACAACTTTACTAAAGACATAAAAGTCCTAAATTTCACTCAAATCGAAATAGAGAGCGTTGTTTGAGGATGGACCCCCAAAAACACGTTTTTCATCAAAACACATATTTTCTTTAATTTTAGGTCTTCATTATGTTCAACAAAGTTGATTGGTATACTAAAATACACATCTTTCTAGAACATACTATACCTGCATCATTTTAATAGGATGAGTTATTGATAAATTTTCTTCTATTTTCCTCATATTTTGGGCTTGCGTATCTTTCTTAGGTGCAAGAAGGTGCAGATGAAATTAAACGCATCTAAAACTACATTAAAAGAGCTTTCAAATGGTGGTAAACTTGTCCGTCCACGACCGTCTGCTGGAGAGTTATGATCAAAAGAAACACCCGTTGATAGGCTTTATAGAAGTCATGTCAACAACAAGGGGATACCAACAATCAATACGAAACTAACGATTTAAAATTGGCTCACTGCTTGACTAGCCTATTGGTCCCAAGCAAACGATTAACGTATCCCATTCTAGTCAAAATTCTAGTACTACACAATGTTTGTTTTGATTCGCTATGAAAGTTTGACAGATAAAATGAGGGGTTATTTGATTTTCCTATGTTTCGAGGGGTGAATCGATTTGCTTGGGGCCGAAGATAGTACCAGAGCTGAGCCTAAAAGTTGAGCACGTTTCTTCGGGACCTTCTGGTCTTAGAGTTACCTCTATGGGGATACCATAGAGGTAACTCTAAGACCACTGGGTCCCGAAGAAAATCATTATTATTTTTGGCTCACTCAGTACCAGAACAACGGTCCCAAGCAGTCCCAAGCTATTTCACTCACCCCTGCACGTTCTGCATGAATCCACACACCCCTGATGTTATCTGTCAAACTTTCATAGCGAATCAAAACAAACATAGTGTAGTAATAGAATTTCTACTAGAATAGGGTACGTTAATCGTTTGCTAGGGACCAATAGGCTACTAAAGTGGTGAGCCAATTTAAAATCGTTAGTTTCGTATTGATTGTTGGGGATACT